ATGGTGCATCAGTCTCCCATACGTCTTCATAACCTTCTGCAGTGAGAGGGGGGTCCAGGCTCCGTCGATGACTTAATGAGGCCTCCGTTAATCTCTATCAGTCAATTAGGGCAGCTCTGCCTGAGTGAAGACACTAGAGGGAGCGCCCCTTTTGAATGTGATTAACTACAGAAAATGCACAAGAATAGGCCCCAGTGTGTTCAGAGATAAACAAAAATAAACCATGTCTAAACCTCTGCAATCTGTTACGTAATTAGAAGACCGTTTCAGCAATCCACCTTCATTTTAAACTCTGGACAATTCAGAATGTTGTTGATACTGAAGGCACAGCTCTATTAAAAGCTCTTTTAGACTTTAATCTTTGAGCTTTGTTTGAACATAACGAACTGGCTTAGCTGGAACTACAACAAGAAAATCGAACTCCTAAACAGGACGATGAACGCTCGTATTGATCAGACTCCTGAAAATGTGTTGCTTAAATCCATTTTGTTTTGTTTCTTCAGCTTTCAGACTTGGATCTTAAAACCTCTAGTAACACTAAACATTCCACCATTAGAGATACATGTAGAACACCCCAAGCAGCAAGTATTAATGATATAATAAATAGAGTCTATAAAACGAAATGGGAAAAAATAAGGTACACCTCTTGCTACAAACCAATGTTGTGGACTTGCAAGTCATGGCTTGGTCAGACTTGAGTCACTATTTTTATAAAATGGAAAAAAAATAAAAAGGAAAAATTAACATTGCTACAACTCTTATATAAATACACATACCATGACCTTTTAAGTACAGTTTAGTTTAAAATTCATATAAATTGCAAAAATCTAAGCTATATTTTGGTTCTTTGGTTTAAAAACTTGAAATGACTTGACACTCAAAGTAGACGACTTGGACTTGACTTGGACTTATGGGCCAGTGACTTGGGACTCAACTTGAACTTGCCTGTATTTGACTTGGGACTTGACTCTGACTTGAGGTCAAAGACTTGAGACTTACTTGAGACTTGGAGAACAACGACTTGGCCCCACCTCTGCTGCAAACTTTAGATCACAATACTGAGCGTAATAACTTCAGCATCATTGGCAGAATGTAACAAAGTTAGAGTGACCAGATTTTAAAAATCTGGGACACTCTCAGTTTGTGGTGGTTGGTAATAATAAAATTGTCAAACGAGTGCATAATTAAAGGTTGTATTGTTGATTGATTGAGTGTTGATTTTCCAAGGAATGAGAAATCCAGCGACTGTTTGTTGTTTTTCAAATGTTGCGCATGCGTGAAACCACCCCCCCTCCCCTACAGCTCCCTACGTAGAAACGCCTCCTCCCTCCTCCTCCTTACGCCAGAAACAGGTTTGTTTCTAGAAAACAAGTACTCATCGCTGCAAATGACTTGTAAACAACTAGGGTGCGCGGAGATTCCGTGCGAATGAAGCTACTACTACAACACGCAGCAGCAAGCGGACTCTTTCTTTGCATTGAAAATTACGTTTTCAGACATAGGATATCACATTCGTGTCCTGAAAAACGTTTGTCTAGAAATAAAGTACGTTTTCATAATAAGCAGAAGTGACCTGTCCAGGAGTAATTTGGCGACCAGTGCATCAGTCTTTAGACCCTTCGCTTGCAGTTGCGCCCATCGCTGGAATGAATCTTCAAGAATCACCTTAGTTTGGCTTCGCTGCATTTCCCCTTGTCTTCTTCTTTCAGCAATCTCAAAAACGGACTTTCTTTTGCGGCTAACTGCTCCTGGATTCTTGTCTGCCATTGCAACAAACTTTGTGCTAACTGCGAGGAAGATATAGATCAAAAAAGCCGCTAAGAACTGTTGCGTTGGTGGAGTAAACAGCGTCTGTGCGTCTTGCGTCTGTGGACTGCGTGACAGGCGTACGTAAACCACGTACCGGCGGCGCGCAGGCAAGTCAGTTACACTAGAAACGTAGGGAGATTGATTGACAGCCTGTCAGCTCACAGATAACGAGGCAGTGTCGTTATCTATTGGCAAATGTTTAGCCCCACCACGTCCAGAGTTGATGAATTTTTATTCTCTTTTTTTTGGTCATCATAATTACAAGGCTACTGCACCTCTATAATGCTATCATTGACAATTTGAAACAAAAAAATCCTCCATACAACCTTTAAGGAAAATTGTTAAGCACTCGGCACTAATGTGAGTCAGTATAGTCACATTTTCTTTGTGTTTTGGTCGTTTTTAAGCAGCTTTTCTGTATTTTACCTAAACAAATGACAATTTATGCCTCTCTTTATTGCTGACAGGGATTAAATTGGTTAAAAATAGGGACACCTGGTGTAACCGCGCTGAACTTGGCCGTGCAAAAGCCCATCTTGGTTGCAGGAATAACCCGTGTCTGTGTTTCCCTTTGACTGTCGTATAGTTTATCTGTGTTGTGAACAAATGGCCAGAACACGGTGCTGTCTTTTGTGGTTTTAATCTGCATGAAACAAAATATGTACTCAGGACAGGTCAGGATATCTCGGCTCAACACAGTGAGCAGCTCTACAAGGAGAGCAAGTCACATGAGCATCTAAAAGTTAGCTTCTGACAACTCTAAAAATCCATTACTGTGTAATAACTCATACCTTGTACAATATATATAGTATAATATTAGTTCAGAAATGTTCGAAATGACGTAAATAAGATTTACAATTAGGCTATGATCAAATAATGAATAATTAAACAGAAATACACAATTTACCGTATTTTCCGGGCTATTAGGCGCTCTGGATTATAAGGCGCACTGTCATTGAATGGTCTATTTTCGAAATTTTTTCACAAATAAACCGCACCGGACTTTAAAAGAAACACAACAGTTGGATGGCTCAGTGGGACTTTGTTTTTGGCGTTCACGGTGACTCTGGGCTTTGTTCAGTTGTGGCGTGTAGGGAGGATGCTGTCTGGGACCAACGGATTGTCGGCGTGTTCGCAGTGACTCAGTTGTTCAGTTGTGTCTAGAAGTGGCACATTGCACTCGCGTTTTCGGTTTGTTCCTCCGTTCCATTCCTCGTCGGCATGGAGTGATGAGTGTGTCTGTGGGTGTGTTTCACTGCGCGGTCGCTGTCTGCTCCGTGTGTGTTTGCGTGCGCTGCGGGTGGTGCGGCTTTGTAGTTTACTGAAGTCGTGCTGGGACACCCGAGTGGATTTGTGTATAGGGCGCTCTGGATTGTAGGTGCGCTGTCATTTTTTGATGGGGTTGGAGGCTTAAGAGCGCGTCTAATAGCCCAGAAAAGTACACTGACACATCTAACATCAGTGACCCACCTCGTGCCCATCTCTGAACTGGCAACATGCTCTCGGTGCTGGGGCACTTATCACTACTGGTCATCACAAAAGAACACTATTCAACCAAACTGCATTAGCCTCATAAGAGCAATGACAAGTGGAATCAAATGCCATGTAATTACCTTTACACTGGGACATTTCTTGTATAAAACTGGGACAAATCACTGATTTTGGATAAATCTGATGGGACAGGGGACACGGGACTCAAAACTGGGACTGTCTTGGGTAAACAGGGACATTTGGTCACCCTGAATGAAGTAAAAGCAACAGAGAACTGTACTTAAGTAAAAAATGTAGGCATCTGTATTTTACTTAAATACATTTTAAAGTGGGTACTTTTTTGTTTTATTTCACTGCATTTGACACCATGAATGTGTATTTTCTACTCCACCATATTTTGAACATGATTTTTATTATTGTGTGACACCTGATGTAAAGCCTGCAGTTTTTATTTTTTATTTTTTGGATCAAGTTCATAGTTTGAGCAAAGAAAAATATACAAATAAAAAGAGCTAGGAAGAAAACAATTGCAAATTCTATTGTTTCTTTTGGACAAAATTCAGCACAAACCTTCATCAAAATCACAAAATATTTAGACTTTTTACTTGAGGAGATTTAAACTGGAGTATATTTTTGCTTCAGTATCTGTATTTTTACTTAATTGCCCGGTCAAGCAGAAGTAAACAACAAGGCCAAAAATTCAAGTTAATGCATCTGATATAAAAATGTATTGAACAGATACATATGTACTCTAGTTTATGAAACTGTTGACCTTTTTTCTGTACCATTTTTGGTTCTAAAATTACATATGTTTTAAACAGACCATGTATGAAACATGGAACAAAAATTATTTCCCAAATTTCAAAGACCTGCAAATCATGTAAATAAATGGATGTATTTCATCATATCTTGTGTTATTCCATCTTTGAACTGTTGATGAAGGTACATGAAAAAAGTATTTAAAATGATAAAAATTTGCTTGGAAGGACTGACCTAATCTTGTACCATATGGTAGAAAACTATATGAAGCAAATATTCAAACCAGTTTGTTAAGGATATGTAAGTGAGAACCAAGAGTTATCACCAAAAAGTGCTGCATATTTCATTCCCTCTGTTACCGACATGAGTTTTAAAATTTTTTGTCAGCAACTTGAAAGAATATCACAGGTTTAACTTGACCCTGTTGAAGTGTAACTCTTTCCTACATTCTGATACTTTACTTATTTCAATAGTCCCTCTAGTTTCTGAATAAGAGCTATTTGAATGTAAAAAATCTGCCCGTTTCCCTCCATTACCGCTTGACCAGACCCATAAGTAAAAAAAAACAGAGTAATTCTTCCAACACTTCCTGGCATGACGAACACCAGCTCGCTAATAGCTTTCTGTTTTATTACACTCTTAATGATGTTTTTTGTAATTACTTTAGACCACCGTTGCTTTCTCTGTATAATTATGAGCGTTCTCCATTTCAACGTGTCTGGAAGTCATTAGTATGCAATAATTAAAGACGCATCGTGTAACTTTTCTGGTGGAGGGTCCGTCAGTTACTTTCCTTTATGGAGATTTTGTTGACACCAAGGCAGAGCAATGACATATCCATAGAAAGAAGCAGGTGACGGACCCCTAAACGAAAAGCGACATAGTGCCCTTTTAGATGTGCTGTTTTCTGTATGTAATTGTGTCTTGTGATTGTGTTACAGATCTGGGACACGGCCGGACAGGAGCGATTCCGCAGCGTCACCCATGCCTACTACCGAGACGCTCACGGTAAGGCCGCACGGTTTATCTTTAATCTAGTTTGAACGTGACCGGCATTTTGAAACGGTGCATGATGCAACCGAACCCGTGAGTCAGCAGTTGAGTTTTGCTGTTGGCACTTTGCAGCTGGTGTCTTCAACGTTACCGGGGGTGTGGTGCTAGCTGTAGGCACTGTTCTGTCTGATGCGTGTTTGACTTTAATGATGCTATATTACGCAAAATTGACTCTTGTGAGCTGTAAGTCATGTTATAATGCTGTGAACCCCTCAAAAACATGCCTGGTGTTGTGGTTTGTTTCATTCACATGTGTTTGAGAAACTCAGAGATCCCACAGTCATGGAAATCCTGGAAAAGTCATGGAAACTGAAAATGTCATGTTCTAGGCCTTGAAAAGTCATCCAATTTTAGTATCTCTTTCACGCAGCTACAAGTTCTCATGAGGCTATTGTTTATTTCTGAACATCTGTGCCTTTTGTTTAGAAGAGATGATAATAAATGCACAGACAGGATTATGAATGTTAAAAAACTATAATCTCAAACCATAAGGTGAGTGGGAAGGGTTCACATTTCAGATTTAGCCCTAAAATTCTGATCAGTTCTACACATGTTGGTGCCGTAAAGTCATGGAAAATTCACTTTAGGTCATGAAAAAGTCATGGAAAAGTTTTTAAATTTTATCAGTGAAAAAGAGTGGGAACCCTGGAAATCCTTTATGATTAGTCAGTCACTTAGCCAAACTAAGTGAGTCAGCCTGATATTGTCTAGCCAGGCTGACCCCACCTAGTGCCTCCGCTCAGTTTAATTTCTCTCCAGCAACTAGGTCAGGAATCAAAATGCACTAGACGGTTCGCAAAAACCCCAGAAGTGCGAGTTTGAGCACCAGCCAATCTGTGTTGACAATGATTCCCGAGATCGAGGATTTAAAGCCGGAACAAAGAGAATGTTTGGTGAATTTTATCAAGGAGAAAGACGTTATTGCCCTTCTTCCTATGGGGTTTGGGAAAAGCTTAATATACCAGTTAGCGGCGCATTACATATGTCACGACCAAATAGCAGCGATTGGTTAAATGGATAAAAAGTACCCGCCTACTATCAAACGAATCTTAATGCTGTGAGGTCAGATGGTTTGTACGAAGTGAAATGAAGTAAAACAAAGTAAAACCGGCTGATGAATCAGGCTAGGTCTTGTCTAGATGTCTGTATAACTTACACAGAATTCCCCATTGGCTGTTAGGGAGAACATGAACCTGCCTGGATGCTAACTAGAGTAGAGTGACCAGACGTCCCTATTTACTCGGGACAGTCCCAGTTTTAAGCCCTGTGTCCGATGTCCCAGCAGATTTATCCAAAACCTGAGATTTATCCCAGTTTTATACAAGAAATACCCCAGGTGTCCCTAGTTTTATTTATTTATTTGTTTATGTATTTATTTATTTGGAGGACAAGCCCTGGAGATGTGTCGCCATCCCGTTTTCAAAAAAACACAGAAAAAAACAAAACAACATCTACACAACCACACACACACTCACACACACTTGACAGTTAGACACGTAATAAATCAAATTTGAACAACAAAACTAAGACAGAGTTCAAATATAGTCACAAAATACAACAAGGTGAACAACAAAATTCAACAAGATGATCACAAACAATTCCACAGGTTATGTAAGTATTGCACCAGAGCATTTTTAAATGAAGGGACAGAAGTTAATGTGTGAATTGATGTGGGAAGATTGTTTTAATCAGAGAGCTTTATATTTATATGAGTGTTTTCCTATTTGTTTTTTGACTCTTGGGGATAACAAAAAAATATCTGATCTACATGACGTAATCTGTAAGAGGATCTGAATGGAATTAAATACTGTTTAAAATATTTAAGATAACTGAGATTAATGCATTTCAAGATAAATAATAATCAATTAAGTTGACATCGGGAGGACAGAATGAGCAGGACAGTGGGTGGAACATCACACAGTGGGGCGTTCTGAAGGGACAGTGGAGAATGAATCTGCACAAACTGTTTTGACCAATTTGATCCGTGCCAACAGTAAAGAGGGCCATACATTTTAATTTGTTTCGATGTTTAGAAATGACCAAAACACAAAGAAAATGTGACTATACAGACTCATATTTGTCATGAATGGGCCAAGTGCTAAACAGTTTTCTTTAATTACAGACTTGTTTCACAGTTTTATTATAACCAACCACCCCAAACCGAAGGTGGACGAAAATCTGGTAAACTTAAGGCACTGCTCTGCCTGAAGATCTGTTACTCAAATTAAACTTTAATCTGAGCTTTACCATATTTTAACACAATTTGATAAAAAAGAACTGACTTACTACAACAGATGAGCTGATTTGTGCTGTTAAACAAATTTCTATCAAACTCCTAAACAGGGTCATAAACACTTGTATTGGTCACAGGCTTCTGAAATGATGTGTTTATTTACGTCCATATTGTATTTTTTTTCTTGAGTTGTCAGACTATCTTAAAACTTTTTCGCCAGCGTTTGCGAATGTGTGCATTGTGTCACCCTGTTGAACGTTTTATCACAGAGACACATGTAGAATCCCCCAGTGAGATGTCAGTGCAAAGTGTCAATTGTGCAACTGCTGAATACTTGTTTCCTTTCCGTAGATATGTGTATACCTTGTGCAGTATTCCCTATTGGTTGTTAGCATTGTTACTTAAGGTCACAATCCTGCCCATTATGTGCTGTGTGATGCCCCAGAGAGTGTGGAGCTGCTACTAACTCAGCAGAATGAAAGTACAGGTAGCAGCAGTCACAGCAATTATCAGTGTACTAAAATACTGCAATACTCAAATTCTAGACACAATTTTAAGGTTAGGTTATCTTATTTGCCCTTTGCAGTTGACTTGTGAGATATAAGCCTTGTTGCAGTGTTGTTACCTCCTCAAAAGCATACCTAGAGTTGTGTTTTATTTGTTTGAGTACTGTATTTTTTGGACTGTAAGTCGCTCAGGAGTATAAGTCGCACTTTTTGGAGGAAATTTATTTGACAAAAACAGAGACCAGGAACTGACATTTCATCTTGAAAGTCAAGTTCTAGTAATACCAACAGAACAGAGAACAACAGACTGTTAATGTCACATATGAACAGTTCTTCAGATAAACTATAACATAAACAACAGAACAGAACAAGTTTACCAAACTCTCCATCTCACTCCAAATCACTAAATCCATTCAATTCTTCATCCTCGGTGTCACTTCTGAGCAACTCCAGGACCTCCGGAGGTAAACGGAGCGCCGCTTCCTCTTCTGTGTAGCTGTCATCAGACTCTGCATCAGTTCCAGTTAGAATTATTCCGGCCTTTCTGAATCCCGACAGGATGGTTTCGGTTGTCACTAAAGTCCGTGCTTTGAGCCATCCAGTGACTTCCAGGAAAGTTACATGGCACACCCTCCTGGTTGCCGTGAAGCTTTGTTCTCCATCCCCGCTTTCCGCCAGTCCCTCACAAGTTTCTCGCTCACTCTAAACTTTCTGCTGCTCGATTACCATTTTCAGCTCAATATTTCACTACTTGCAGCAAGACAGCAGCTCTTTCTGCTGGAGACATGCGCAGTAGAGTGAAGTGAGAGTGGTACAGGACTAATAGTAGCAGCAGATACTGACACACAAGACTCGAGCCTCTTGTGGCTATCAGTGTGAAAATTTTAATGTATAAGTCGCACCGGAGTATAAGTCGCAGGAAACACCCAAACCCATGAAACAAAGTGCGTCTTAGTCTGAAAAATACAATAATCCTTTTTTATTAGTCTGTCTATATTTCCAAAGCTCAGAAATGCTCTGTTCCATCTGGTGACCTCATGAAGTGGTAGTTTTCATTTTAACAATTATCTTTTGCCTTTAGTTCAGTAGAGATTGGCGTTTGAAAACACAGTGGAGCAATTCCTGTACTACCACATGACATCACAAGGTGGAATAAAGTGTCTTAGAGAAGAACCTAAATATGCAGGGTTTGTGTTTGAATGAAACAAAACACAACTCCAGATATGTTTGTGATGAGCAAACAACATTATCACAACATTATGAACAAATTTGTACTCAAGGCCGTCTTACGAACATTTTTTGCATTCACTAAACTTTTTCTTAACTGAAAATGTTCTTCTGGAAGACCAAATCCTACAGTCAAGTGCACTCGTAAAAACAAAAAATCTACAGTTTTAGAATATTATTACTCTGATAATGCAACAAAAAATTCTAATTCCTCCTTGACTGTAAGTTATATATTTTAAAAAAATTATTTCCTATAAACATATTACTCCGTGATCCAAAAAAATGTATGAGGAGTTTTATAGAGCATGTGTCTATTGGGTCTAACAGACTTTCACAGTGCTCTCCATATGGGCCTCTGTCACAGCCCTGTGCCTGGTCACCTCTCTGGACTCCCCCATCAAATTCTGCCTTTTTTTTTTTTTTTTTTTTTTTGGTGATGAGCCAGAAGGCGATGTAATCTCCCTCAGCTAGATTCATTCCACAATCCCAGAGCTCGAAAACAGGCAAAAATCAAGCAGTGAACAAGGACGGGGACCAGGATAAAAAATTTGAATACAATGAGATTTGACTTTTTTTTTTTCCATGATTCCCACTTACTTTGACTAGTACATAACTACAAAGTTGTCTTGCATTTCCCTCTCTTTTGTATATCCACTTAATGTTCGTCTCTCTTGTAAATATGCACTTCATGTTGTAAATATTGATGTTTGCCAAAAAACTGAAAATGAATGAAGAATGAAATGAAGACTTCTTGGAAACTTACCCAGTGTTTGTGTTTAGCTCTTCCCTGTTAAATGAGTCCAGAGTCAGAGTCCATTCTTCACAGCGTTCTCCATCTGTTACAAACTGTTAAATAAAGCAGAGTGAAGATGACAGGCGGCCAGGGCAGAAGATCCAGACAGAGCACAGCTGTCTCCGAACATGTCCATCGACTGACATGAAGGAAGTTTAATATTGACTGCTAGGCTTAAGACAAGAAACTCTTTTGC